GTAATGCAGATGATGTACAGTGACCACAACACAGCAGTTGCAACATCAGGATCTGTAGGTTGGTACAAGAATTCAACCAACTACGAACCACTTATATTGATGAAAGGGAGCAGTAGAACAACATAACTACACTTGCATCGCCTCGGCCTTGAATACCCATGTGCGGGGAGAATAGGCAAACAGTTTCCAGAACACTAATCAAGTTTTTTCTAATGTATCTGTGGTTCATCTGGGTACTCAATTTCCACCTGTTACCACTTGTGTTATAAACTTACCTACTCTCAATTCCTCTGAGAATCTGTTATGTGGTGATCATGTCCCCCCCTAACTCTTATCTTCCAGCGACGTGAGGTTTAGTTCCCGTAGTCTCTCCTGGTAGCTCATACCCCTTAGCTCGGGTACTAGTCTGGTGGCATACCTCTGAATCTTCTTTAATTTAGTCTCCTGCTTGACCAGATATTGACTCCACGCTGGAGCTACATACTACAGGATTGGTCTGACATGTGGTATATAAAGTCCTAAATGATTCCTCACGCGGTTTCTAAAAGGTAGTTATGTTGGCCAACCTGGCATATGCCGCTGATGATATCCTCTTTACGTGGGCTTCAGCGGTCTGAAGGTCTGGCGTGATATCAACCCGCAGGTGTGTGTGTGTACTCAGCTATTTGTGCTTGCGGGGGTTGAGCTCCGGCTCTTTGATGTGTGTGTGTAGCGCGCACTCTAGAGCGCTAAGAGCAGTTAGCTCTTGTATTACGCCTTCCTGTCGGTTATTTACGCTACAGATCCTCGACCTATTTTTCTACATGTCTACTACATACTTTATTCACACACACACACACACACACACACACACACACACACACACACACACACACACACACACACACACACACACACACACACACCAGCTTGCAAGAGCTCTCTAACTCCCAGGTACCAATTTACTGCTTGGCGAACACAAACCTCATATAAAAGAAATTGCGTGCAACAGTTTGCTTCTTGGCCGGGACTGGAGCCCGGTCACTCTGCCCTCGTGTGAGTTCTCCTCTCCCAGCTCCTCCCTTAGCTCCTCTCCCAGCTCCTCTCCCAGCTCCTCCCTTAGCTCCTCTCCCAGCTCCTCCCTTAGCTCCTCTCCCAGCTCCTCTCCCAGCAACTCTGCACCTGGAGACATCTTCCCTTAATGTTATCATGGACCTCGTTATTTACATATATGCGTAAATTGCTATGTTATTTGTGGTAGACGATATGTTGTTGGTTTAGTTTCATGACTGTGTGTAGTTAGGTTAAGTTGGGATAGATTAGGTTAGGCTCGTTTGAAGAGCAGGTGTAAGGCCAGAGACACTTCAAGATGTTACACGACCGAAGATCACAGTCAATATAAACATCTGTCACCTGAGGGCTATTCATGCCCGTGCCACTACTTCTGGTGGCTTAATCTTCATCAATCAATCTCACTTAGCCAGTAACCGGGTTCTTTCCATTCAAACTCTCTATGGGGTCTTAGTGCCTCTTGTTATCACAAGACACAACCCAAAGTCTTAGGTAAGTTATTAAGAACTGGCAGTAATAGTCTAACGGAAATGGGGGTTAAACAACACTGAACAAAACCATCGTCACGTGTACTTAACTATATACACTTATTACATATGTACATAACACCGTCGGTCTCACTGTCACACAAGACACTTATTACATATGTACATAACACCGTCGGTCTCACTGTCACACAAGACACTTATTACATATGTACATAACACCGTCGGTCTCACTGTCACACAAGACACTTCAAAAGAACTTCTGCGATCTTCTATCGTACAACACTCAAGGTTCCTTCCCCTGAGGCTTTTTTCTACGGTACTCATGCTGGCAAATCCACTCTTTTTCAGCAATTCACGGACCAATCCTCCACAGTATCAAACCACTAACTCAAAACTCCAGCAACATGCTGGCTGGCTTCCTGGAAAGGCTTCACCTTTACCAAGCCTTACCTTCGAGGACAGACGGACGCTAATTCCAAATAGTAACATAACTGGGCCATCCCGGGATACGTCGGTCCAATCTCCAATAGCTCAATGTTCCCACTGAAACAAGTCTTGCATTCAGGACTGCACTTGCTGGTCACTCGAGTACACTGACTCTTGTCAACCAAAGTACCCACTACATAACTAATGAGGAATACAATTTGTATAGCCCGAAACGCTATACGCTTCCTGCCCGAAAGGCTGCACGGCTTTACAAGATTGTACATACCATGCTATGTATCCTCACAAACCCAATGTTGTGTTGATTTAGGGGCGACGACGATCGTGGGATCGGATGCGCCCACAAACCCAATGTACCTTCTTGTATATAAATAAATAAATAGTAAGGAAGAAACTACACAGACCTCAGCAAGATCACAGCCTTCCACTGGGGAACAGAAAATGGATTGGTGTGCGTCCAACAGATGGCGTTGACATGGTCACAGCCGAGATGAAATAGGTGCGCTTACTTTACAGAGGTCTTTGACCCTACACCTCTGGACATTATTTTCCTTAAACGACTCCTCGCTTCATGAATGACGACACCTCGGCTCCTAGCTTACTACACTCTCTATGACCACCAAGAAGGCTTGACACTCCCGTGCCATATTTAGGACTCTCACCGGGGAATTGAATACTATTTATTCGACTGATGTATTTTCTGCCTCGCCCCACAAGATGGAAATCGGATCGGAATAGATGGGATGGGGTCCACGCCCGTCAACAGGATGGATATGGGGGTCCACACTACCCCCAGCATGGTTATCGGGTCCTCCGCCGCCAACAAGATGGTAACGGCGACCACAAAAGAACTAATGCATCTCGTGCCAGGGAAGAGGTCGGGCTCCGGTGCGGAGAGGTGACCTGGGCTCACCAAGGCTGGGGGGCCCCTACTGCGGGTGTACAGTCACACGCGCCCTCCATAACCCCCAATATCTCCCTGATCAAGATATGAGGGTGGTGAGGGAGGGTGACATTGCAAGGATCTCGGAGTACGATCAGTAAGAGAGCGGAGGTGGTAGGATGAGAGAAGATGGTATTAGGGTGAGAGAGGGAGCGGGTTGTAATGTGAATGTGGTGGAGAGGTGAGAGATGGTGATTTTGCATGAGTGGGAGAAGAGGTAGTGGAGGAGGTACTTGCTTATCATTGATTACCTATCAGTGTCTACGAGTCAGTGAGGTTTAGTTCTTTATGACCCGCCCACTAGCCTAGTGTACCTTACAATATAACAATCATAACGTCGAAATTCTTTGTCGAATCTTGCCTTAAAGCTATGGATGGAGGTGGCTTCCACAACTTCCTTCAGTCCATTCCACTTGTTGACTATCTGTACAGGGTACGAGTATTTCCTCAATTCCCCTTATTTTTTTTGATATGAGGACTAGCTACCTTTTTCCAGATTTCTGGATTTCCTGTCTGAAGCATTTTATTAACAAAAAATTGATAACAGGTGACAAAGTACTTCTGAAGCCATAGTAAGATTAGGGTGGACCTAATTTCACTATGATTAGATTGATTTTGTCACATCTAGTCCCTCCAGGTGTTTTCTTACTTCTTCAGTGACCACAATGTCATCCATTGTTTCTTCTGACTTCATCTTGCAACCTTGGTCTCCATGCTGGTTCTAATATAAAGGCTTCCTGAAATCTTTTGTTGAGTTCCCCACATTCTTTATTATCATTTTGTATGAGAATTTCTCCTTGTCTCCTCAATCTAAGTAAATACTCTTGAACTGTTTTGTTCTCCTTATATGGCTATAGAACAGCTGTGGCTGATCCTTGGCGTCTGCAGCAATGTCGTTTTCAAATTACCTCACAGATTCTCACCTAAATCATTTGTATTCATTTTTTTTCGTGCCTCTCTATTGCCTGCTGTTCCTTGTTCTCTGCACTTTCTCCAGGCTTTATTGTCTTTTCTTTACCTTCCTTACATTGCCAGTTAAACCAAGGGCTTTACTTCCTTTTCTGGTCCGCCTCCTCCTTCAGAGTCAAGAACTGCTCCCTTTCATCGCCACATTTACTAGTAAAGACGTCCATCATCTTATTTGCTGGTGGTGGAGGCTAGGTGGTGGTAGTGGTGATGGAGGTAGGTGGTGTTGGAGGCTAGTTGGTGTTGGAGGCTAGTTGGTGGTGGAGGCTAGTTGGTGGTGGAGGCTAGTTGGTGGTGGAGGATGAGAAGCTCGGCTTGGTTGGTTCAGGAGATGCGTAATCAACTCTGGGAAGTTTGGTATGGGTGCTGATATTACCCCTCCGTCCCTCCCTCCCCCTCCTTCTCTGGGGTGGGGGAGGAGGGGCAAGTGGAGGGGGGTGGGGGCGCTTTAGCCAGATAGGAAATTCGCCAGGTGAAAGTGTGAGGGGTGATGGGGGGAATGGGGGGGTGGTGAGACCCGGAATGACGCTCTCACCTCCCTCACCTCTACTCTCACCTCACTCACCTCTACTCTCACCTCCCTCACCTCTATTCTCGCCTCTCTTTCTGCCTCACCAACATTCACCTGAACACTTTTTCTCTTGTTTTACTTCTGCTGTTTGCCTCTCTGTGGGGGTCCCGCGGACCCCCCTCTGTTGACCCCAGTGATGACCTCCTTGCTCGATCCTGCAGACACACACACACACACACACACACACACACACACACACACACACACACACACACACACACACACACACACACACACACACACACACGTTAGCTAAATTCGATTTTTGACAATAAACAATTGAACATAAGACCAATGTTATTTCACGGCTCATTGGCTGGTTACGGTGGTCTCGTAGCCTCTCATGCAGTTCCTACCTCCCTCACTACACTCCCTCACTACACTCTCCAGCACAGTGTTTCCCTTATCAATATATATGCCAAAGATAATACGAATGATTAGTATCACGTTAATGATATTAATGATATTATGTTCTCATATTGTATTTTTTTCATTTATTGTACATGAAAACTAATGTACTGCACACCTCTTGTTGGAGAGAGAGGACTCAGCCTGGTAGAGAGAGGACTCAGCCTGGGAGATAGAGGACTCAGCCTGGGAGAGAGGGGACTCAGCCTGGGAGAGAGAGGACTCAGCCTAGGAGAGAGAAGACTCAGCATGAGCGAGAGAGAGAGAGGACTCAGCCTGTGAGAGCATATATCATCTAACACACGAAAACAGTTCCATGGCTACCTGCGACGGAACTGTCACCTCCACTTTTTAAAAGTAAACCCAACCCTACCTAACCTCTTGTATTCTATCCTATCCTAGCCTAACCTAACCTAAATGTATCCTAGCCTAACCTAACCTAAATGTATCCTAGCCTAATCTAACCTAAATGTATCCTAGCCTAACCTAACCTAAATGTATCCTAGCCTAACCTAACCTAAATGTATCCTAGCCTAACCTAACCTAAATGTATCCTAGCCTAACCTAACCTAAATGTATCCTAGCCTAACCTAACCTAAATGTATCCTAGCCTAACCTAAATGTATCCTAGCCTAACCTAAATGTATCCTAGCCTAACCTAACCTAAATGTATCCTAACCTAACCTAAATGTATCCTAGCCTAACCTAACCTAAGTGTATCCTAGTCTAATCTAACCTAAATGTTTGTGCACCTTGTTATGCACAAGGTGTGTGACGTCGTAAGTATTCTGGCTCAGGTTTTGCATCTCACTCGAGTAGAGTTGGGAAAATGTAAGATGCACCAGAGGAGTTGATTAGGTCCCTAGCAATATAGGATTTGTGTTCTTTTCCCCCTCCTTTCCTCCTCCTTTTACAAATGAATATTTGTAATCAAGCATTTCCAATCAAGCATAATCTGGCATTTCAAGCGGAGGGCAAGAGTGGTTGATGTTGTGAAAGTCACGAGTATGTTGGGTGAGGAATGTTTGACCAGTGGGACGGTGTTGTGGCTGCTTCCACCGTCCTGCTCGGGTCCCACCGCCCTGGTCCCACCGCCCTGGTCGGGGTCCACCGCCCTGGTCGGGTCCCACCGCCCTGGTCGGGGTCCACCGCCCTGGTCGGGCCCCACCGCCCTGGTCGGGTCCCACCGCCCTGGTCGGGTCCCACCGCCCTCGTCATCACAATGGTTGGTGGTTAACAGTAGCCGAGCAATACATATATTCGGTGTTGACAATTCTACCTCCGTGCTACTCTTAGCTAAATATAAACCAAAATGAATCTGTAAATCAGCCACGTTCTCGACTCACGCTTGGGGGGATCCTGGGTTCAATTCCAGTGCCGGATAGAAATGGCTGAGCATGTTCCCCTTCCACCTAATGCATCTGTTCACCTAGCAGTTAGGCAATTGTTGTGGGGATTGTACCCTGGGGAAGGTCAGTAGTTTGACCTTGGGGTGGGGGGGGAACTCGATGTATATGTATATATGTATTCCACCGCCGCCCACAGGAAGGGTATGGGGTGCATAATAAATGGCTGAACCAAGTTTTGAAAGGTTTAAAAACAAGCGCGGATATAACTTGAGTATAAGATGATACAAGCAGGGTGTTGAAAACAGCAGGTGGAGGCAGAACTCGTAACAATGTAATCAAATGAGACCATTTTCAGTTCAAAAGGAAATGAGTAACCATTGGTTGGAGTGAGCAGCGTTGGACAAGCACGCAGTAAGGAGGAACTTGTGTCATGTCAGCAGTGATAGGCTATAATAATGAATTATGTCAACAGTGATGGGTTGAGATAATTGTGTCAGAAGTGACGGGATGAGATACTGAATTAGCACTGATGGACTGAGGTAATGAATTAAGTCAGCAGTGATGCACTGAAGCAATGATTATCTTCCCTGGGAGCCAATTATCTCAAGTCAAACAGCCACTTGGCCTCATACTAAAGATTTCGTCAAATTCTGTATGGCTGCAATAGCTACTAATATGCAAATGAAAAGTTAAAAATTTATGGTAAATCAAAAACAAATCATTAAAGCATTGACCAATGCCCGACCAACTGTCTGTATGGATAATTCGGGGCCTTGGGAACTGGGCAATTAGTTATCTCTAGCAGTTCGGTCATAACAACAGAACACCGTTCCGTCGTTGGGAATGACATGAGATAAAAGTTACTTTTAATGTACACTTAGGGTGATGACCCCTAGTGTGTCATGAGTGGGAGCCGATAAAGCCAGTATTAGTAACGTCACCCAACACTTTCTCCACTCCCTGTCCGCCATGCTCTCACCCACGGCGACCGCCCACTCCAGGATCACTTCCTCCCTTGAACAAATCCACAAGGGCCGTGATGAGGATTCGAACTTAGGCCCGGGATCATCCCAGAGGCTGCAGGATCCGTGTGACGTCAGTGGAACTCCCGGTTACAATTCTTTTACCATGTCATGGCCTAGTCGACTAATGGTCAGCGTCTGGGATCATCCCGGACGTAGGTTCGAATCCTCATCACGGCCCTTGTGGATTTGTTCATCTGATGCATCACGCTATTGTGATTTCTGTGTGTACTTCCTCCCTTGTCAACTCTGCTCACTTGTTTATATTACCTAAATATGCTCCCTGGTTTTTCCTGGTGAATTATCAACTTTCCAATTCGAACTATCGACTTTTTCAATTCGAACTATCAACTTTTCAAGGCATACTATCAGCTTTCAAGGAGTTCTGTCAACTTTTCAGTTCGTATCATCAATATTGCAAGGTCTCTATCAATTTGTCATCGTTCAGCTGCACCGACACTGATAACACTGTATGGAGAATGTTAAGTGTAGTAACACTGTATGGAGAATGATAGGTATGGTAACACTGTATGGAGAATGTTAAGTGTAGTAACACTGTATGGAGAATGATAGGTATGGTAACACTGTATGGAGAATGATAGGTATGGTAACACTGTATGGAGAATGATAGGTATGGTAACACTGTATGGAGAATGATAAGTATGGTAACACTGTATGGAGAATGATAGGTATGGTAACACTGTATGGAGAATGATAGGTATGGTAACACTGTATGGAGAATGCACCACGTGGCAGTACGGTATGGAGACTTCTAGATGTGGTAACACTGGAGAGTGACTGGCATGGGATAAAAGCAGAGTTTGAGTGCACTATTGCAGAGCGTGAAAGTGAAGGTAAAGTGTTTAGCTTGGTAAGTGGGCTCCTCCACGGGCAAGAGAAAGCCATCCAACCTGCCCAGCGCGAGAGGATAGCCTGGTCCAACTGAGAAATTACCTCCGTTTTTTATTTTTTATTTTTTTTGCACATGTGGGTTCTGACTCCTGTTAGCAGGCTCCTGTTAGTAGGCTCCTGTTAGTAGGCTCCTGTTAGCAGATTAGCAGGGAACAGACGAGTTCTGACTCCTGTTAGCATCCTACGTGTCCCTTCCCATAGCTTACGGTAAGCCTTACTCATTAATATTCCCTGGAACACGTCCTGCCCATCGGTTTACAACCAGGCAGTGCTACAGTGCTCAGAGAGTTCAGCGAACTTGTTCACCAAGGACTCGGAGGTTCAGCGAAGCTTATTCACCAAGGACTCGGAGGTTCAGCGAAGCTTGTTCACCAAGGACTCGGAGGTTCAGCGAAGCTGGTCATGTTTTCTGGTGTAAGACTAACTTTGCAATATATAATTAAACTACTGCTAAAGTGTTTATTTTAAACTGAAGTTATAATGCCTCGATTTGAGGCAGAGTTCAGTGTCTTAAGTCAGGTTGATGCTTTTATCACGGGGCTCACTTTGGAGAGTTACTTTTCATATTAGATATGTATGTGAGTAAAGGGTAATAGAAAAAACAATATACAAGTATAATTGTAGGAGCCTCACAAGCCTCCCCAGGATGCCGTATATTCTCTTCCCCAAGGCGTAAGGTTCCCACAAACATAAGCCAATGAGGTAACCTTTTTAACTACACATCTGTATACGTGTCATTTATTCTTGTATCAAAAAATGTAAATTCTAAACGATAAGACCCCCCAAAACCACAGGTATTTCGTCACACCTTAAGTGTTAATGTCATCTTGCCAAGCATGACACGACTGGCATCGTGACAGGCTAGACATGACACAGTTACGACACGCCTCACGACAGGCTAGACATGACACAGTTACGACACGCCTCACGACAGGCTAGACATGACACAGTTACGACACGCCTCACGACAGGCTAGACATGACACAGTTACGACACGCCTCACGACTCCCTAGTACAAACCTGACACACTTACCAAACCACTCTCTCACTCCTGCCACCCAACCGTTGTTTAACCTCGTATTTTGCGAAATTTCAAAGTATATGTGGCTGCAAGTTCATACATTCTAACGTATAATAGGCTAAGAACATAAAATTGAATGCCAATGAATAATATTCAAATGTTTAAGCTATAATATGTGTTATACGAAGCTCTTCGATGTCACATATGAAGAAGCGCGAATGTTTACACACATGACTTAACAGTTAATGATAATTGTTTGCTTAAAGCAAAGTTGAATAGACCTTGATTAAAAAAAGAAAAAGGGGGAATGTAGAGAATGTGTGTGACTGCTTAATTGTAGTTCTTAACAAGTATAAAAATAATCCAATACCTGTATTTTCATAAAGATTTAAACAAACATATTGAAGATGACTTTATATAAAGTAAATAATTAATTTATTAACAAACTAATTCAAGCAAAAAAATGTCGGGTCTGTTGAAAGCCAAGTTCCGTCTTTGGGACCCACCAAGCTAGCATGAAGTAATTAGTAATTAATAAGACTATATCTTTCTTTTCAATGTGTTCTATTATTAGAAAGTCAAATAATTGTAAATTCTGTACGAACACTTCAACAATACTATGGCATCTGGTAAGTTGAATGAGGTTGATCACATTAACCGGATAGAACACAAATATTTTCTGTATTACAATATCGTTATAAAACATTAATCTTTAACAACAGAGTTTTTTTAACTAGCATAATTATGTTAACTCACTCCAACTACCATATTCTGCTCTCATTATTAGTTGTATTTAAATTATAACAGGACCTTTTCTAACTGCATTGTATAAAGCAAGCCTATCGTAGTTCCTGTAAATAATCTGTTCCCAGATTTAGTTTTGCTTCTATTAATAGTCGACATAACTCTGTGGGCAGCAGTGCTCGAGTGAGGTAACCGTAGCAGTGTTCTCATAAATGTCTGAACATTTGGATGTGTTGTGTTCATTCCAGTTGACAAATTAACGTCGTCAGCCTATATTTAACGTCGTCAGCTTATATATAACGTCGTCAGCGTATATTTAACGTCGTCAGCTTGTATATAACGTCGTCAGCCTATATTTAACGTCGTCAGCCTATATTTAACGTCGTCAGCTTATATTTAACGTCGTCAGCCTATATTTAACGTCGTCAGCGTATATTTAACGTCGTCAGCGTATATTTAACGCCGTCAGCGTATATTTAACGCCGTCAACGTATATTTAACGCCGTCAGCTTATATTTAACGTCGTCAGCTTATATTTAACATCGAAGCAACGCCAGACTGACTCATGACCTTGCTGCTACGGATGGTAGTAATATACGCATTGAATCGCGAGCCTTCTTCCATATCGGAGAGAAGGTCGGCTCTAGGTGGCTGGGTACGGCTTTCCCCGAGGCTATGGCTGGGTAGGTCTTTCTCTCTGGGGTTGTGGCTGGGTAGGTCTTTCTCTCTGGGGTGGTGGCTGTCTGTGTGGGTCACCCCGAGGCTGTGGCTGGGTAGGTCTTTCTCTCTGGGGTGGTGGCTGTCTGTGTGGGTCACCCCGAGGCTGTGGCTGCGTAGGTCTTTCTCTCTGGGGTTGTGGCTGTCTGTGTGGGTCACCCCGAGGCTGTGACTGGGTAGGTCTTTCTCTGGGGTTGTGGCTGTCTGTGTGGGTCACCCCGAGGCTGTGACTGGGTAGGTCTTTCTCTGGGGTTGTGGCTGTCTGTGTGGGTCACCCAGGCACCTGACTAGGGTTGCCGTTACAAAAGCAGGCAGCATCACAGCTTGTCTGTCTCTCGTGTACCATTAAGAACATCCGTCGAGTTGGCAAAAGTTACTAGCGAGTGATTCATCAAGGAAGGCCACAACAGCTGCGACTACGGAAGGTGTTAGGCAGCCATGTGTGAAGTCTCCGAATGTCTGCTTGGCGTTACCTGATACAAGCAGCGCTGACAGACACTCTCCATGTATTTACTACTACTTTACGTTTTCGTATAGTCGGCGCACTAGGTCTAAATGGGAGAGAGTAATCAGCGATGTGAATCAGTCATGCTTGTCGCATCTCGTTTTCTGTTTCTTAACTCGCAGCATGTCCGTCGAGGGGGCGTCCTTGGAGCTCACGCTAACGGCGGTGTTCGCTCGACTGATGTTGTGACAGGTTTCCGGTTCCTGTTGTCTTGTATTCTGTCTTGTATTCTAGCGTTTTTACCGGTCGTTCCCGCGATAATGACGGTAATTGTTTAGGTATGTGAGGCCACGAGTCTTGAGCGTCCGGACCTGACTGGGGCGCAGCACAGCTCCTGGTGTAGTTCCATCTGCCATATGGACTGTCGGAGTCTATCTGACTCCGGCAGGTTCTCCACCGGCTATGATAGACTCGTTAAAAACATTTGAAACTCATTAAAGTTACGGCATTTAAAGGGTTATTTTAAGTTGAAGTAGAGCGTGGTTATTTCAAAGAACGATTAAAGTTAGAGTAAATGTGCTTAAATCCAAGTGGGAGACTGGTGGGGTCCCAGTGGTCTGTGCTGGGACCTCCGTTGTTTACCGCTGTTATGGCTCGGCTGTTGAGTTGTATAGTCAAAACTTGAAAAAACCGACCCTACAATTCCGATTCGTCGCTTACGAATTCACGAAATGACTTGATAACCTCAACGACGGTTTTGCCAGCCCAGCTGGTCTCTCTTGGCACTGTCGCCCCAGCAAAAGCTTTCCTGAGCTCGATGATTCGTTCGAAACTACGACAATTACGACCTAATGAGCAAGTAAATGAACAAGCACCCCTCTTGGTGGGGTGTTTGTGGGGGAGGGGTAAGAGGTGCGTGTGTGCGAGTGCATGCATGTTTGCATCACAATACGTGAACATGGGTACAATGTGAAGTCACAATATTATTGCAGAGTGCGCGGCTAATAAAGGCTAGTGACAAGTGAAAGTCTGAATCCCTCCCCACGCTCCCCTTGTCACGTCTGACTGCCCTACCAGTTTTGCCTGTTAAAATAACGCAAAAAGTTCACACTCTTGAATTCATAATTACGTAGTTTCTGCCTGTTCTGCTCAGTCACAGTCAGCGGGCTCGGATCACAGTGCATTAGGCTGTGATGTGGTGCAGGCTGACTCCATACACAGTTTCAAATGTAGAGCCCAGTAGGCTCAGGGATCTGTACACCAATTAATTGAACTAGCAGGTCCATTGTTTATCACAATGAAATGTGTGAAGTAAAACATGTGTATGGGGGCAAGTAACAAAGTCAGCAGACTAACAAAGTTGTCACAGCTCAAATAAGACTTGGCTAAAAGTATCTCTGGCACTTCGGCTTGTATAGGGATCTAGATGAAGTAAAGTGTAAAGTGTGTGGACAAAGACAGGGACACACACTTGAGCACTATATCTTGGATTGTAGTAAAATTGAGCCATTTAGAGATAAATCTAAGCTCACGCTGTATATGGCAACCTATCTTATTACTAAGGATAAAATACCTGAAGTCCTTACACTGAATTCATATTTCGCTCTCAGTAGATAAACGACATATGAGATTAAGAAACAAGTAGTGTATTATGAAGACTAATAACAAACAGCAGCTCCCTTATGACTAATATCTCCATCGCTCAAACAATTATGTATTAGCGATAAGACCGCAAGCACAACTAGGTGAGTACACTTCTCATTAAAATACCCCTACATTGAACACTAACCTGCTTGTTAATGCTACAATAATTGGCTGTAGATATTGGTATAGACTTAGGGGGAGGGAGAGAGACACTTAAGGGAGTTAGTGAGAGATAATTAAGGGAGACAGTTAAGGGGAGAACATTTAAGGGAGTGCCTGGTGATCCCCACCGTGCCAGGTAAGTCCACTACGGGCTCACCATAGCCCGTGCTACTTGGAACTTGTTCCGAGTAGCTGAATCTATAACAACAGATCCCCAGCACTGTACAGTGCAGGAGGGGGCCACCAGGCACTCTGGCTACCCAGGATATATTCCCCAAGTATACTTGACAAGTGGGTCATATCTACTTCTAGCTCTCGAAAATATCGACGTGTAGAAATGTTTTGTAAACAAACCCGGGGATAACTTCCCTTCAATTCTGTCTTCAGGTCTACAGATTGGCAGCAACATTAATGTTGATTATGGGAACATCCCCCCGCCCTCCCGCTCCTGCGATGAGATCATACAACTTTGAGAAGGAGAGTTTAGGGAAAGACATTCCTCGCTGGTAAAGTTGATCACGAGTGTTGTAATGTCTTACTCCACTGGCGCCAACCTGAAGCTGTTACCAAGGACAAACAGGTATGGAACCCGTTTCTTCCTGGAATGATATGGTCACACACGACACCTTTGTTGTTTTATAACACTGAGGCTGCAAACATTCCGTGGAGGGTGCTGGTGTGACAGCGTGGCCCAAGGAAATGTATATGTTTATCTCTCAGAATGTTCGGTAATACGTTTATTGCTTGTGATGTGTGTCTATGTATGTATTAACACGATGTACTGAACGGGGTGAGAATAGCTTGAGCTGCCTCATCCCTTTGTGTGTATTTTACCTCAATAAACTTATTTCAATTTCAGTTCAGCGTGGCCCAAGGTCTTCCTGGTGGGAACACACACATCACTCACGCGCCCAAATGTCTCCACCAACGAAACAGCAATTTGCACACAGCTCGTCAGCTTGGAGTGTAAACACTGCAACAACCTCGTAAAAATGCAAACACTTCTCTGCCTAATAAACCGCACTTGTAGAGACACCTTAATAGTTATGACACGCAAGTCTTGATGTAAAGGTTACCCCTAAATACCCGATAGTTGCTGAAATGGTTCACTTTTAACCGGTAGTTGCTGAAATGGTTCACTTTTAACCGGTAGTTGATGAAATGGTTCACTTTTAACCGGTAGTTGCTGAAATGGTTCACTTTTAACCGGTAGTTTGGTTCGCTTTTAACCGGTAGTTGATGAAATGGTTCACTTTTAACCGGTAGTTGCTGAAATGGTTCACTTTTAACCGGTAGTTGATGAAATGGTTCACTTTTAACCGGTAGTTGCTGAAATGGTTCACTTTTAACCGGTAGTTGATGAAATGGTTCACTTTTAACCGGTAGTTGCTGAAATGGTTCACTTTTAACCGGTAATGATGAAATGGTTCACTTTTAACCGGTAGTTGATGAAATGGTTCACTTTTAACCCGGTAGATGCTGAAATGGTTCTCTTTTAACCCCATATTAGCGCATCACCACCTTCTTACCCACCCCCCTTTATCAGAAGTAATTATCTCCCCTCAGTGTAGCTCCCTCACCTGTCCTCCGCTCCAGGTCCACACATGGGGACACTTCACTTGTTATTTCCTCAGTGGGAATCACTAGATTCCCACTAAATCGTCATGACTCGCGTCTAGTCAGCGCAGGATGTACCAAACACATGTCCAAGCTATGAATCTCTGATTTAGCTGTGTTGTAAGTATGGTGTCCCAGAGTGTATGGATCTGCAGCACGCTTGAGGGGACAGTGCCAGGGGACACCTGTGAGGGGACAGTAAGAATCAGGGACAAGAGCGAAGGGACATTTGAAGGACACACAAGGGTCGAATGAAAGGTGTAAGGGGAAAGTACAATAGATCGTACCAAAACTGAGGGAAGAAAATGTGTATTGAAGGTGAGGGGAGACTGAGGGAAGTGGCAATGATGAGGGAAGGTTATAACTGAGGGGAGACGCGAATCGTTTTGCAACGAAGGGAAAAGAAAAGGAGTGTTCAAAAGACAATGGAACTCTTACCGAAGCGAAGTTAGTGGACAATCACAAGTCTATTGAAATCAAGGCATTGCAGATCTCAAGGTGGTGCAGGAACTGGTTCAAGTTACGGATAAGGTTAAGGTTGGCGAGGAATAATGGCAAGTCTTGTTTCTGAAACCGAGGAGTAAGCACTTCCGCAAGCATTCTTGCCGGAGTAGCAACTAGTGCTCCAGTTGTAGCAAGTCCAGTGGGGCAGGAGTGGGCCAGTGGTGTCCCAGAGAGAATGCAGGTGTCGTAGGTCGTGTAACCGGACGCTACAAGCGTAGAGGTTTATGCCACACTGGCATAAACAGGGATAAACCAGTTTATACCACTGGTGTTGACACTTGACAGTGTCAACAAGACACTGTCAAGAATGTCAACACCGGTCAGCACAACACTGGCAGACAAGCAGCAGTAACTCAAGTTTGTCTTGTTGAAATAAATCAACTGTAGCTATATTGGAGCGGACTCCGCTCCAATATAGAAGCATCAAGAAATATGGGCAAATAGGCCCTCTGCAATTACTTCCATTCTTACCTTCAATACCAATTGTTTCGTGTTCTATCCCGTGTTGAAAGTTTTGTTCACCTCATCCAAAACTGTTATAACATATCACCTCACCCAAAATGCGGGTATAAAATGAAAAATGAAAGCTGTTTAAATCATAGCATAAGTAAGAACTCTGTTTAGTGTTTGCAGGTAACAGTTGTGTGTGTGTAAACTAAAAGTCTTTGAAAATGTAATAAGTTATTACGAAACGCGTTCAAGTGTCGCGTCAGACTAGAAATAAAAATGAATTTTGGAGAATTGATTTTTCAATTTCCATCAACAGTGAAAAGAAACATAAGAAAGATCGAGAAAATTCGTGTTAGAATTATTAATCTTACTTTTTCGGTCATATTTAATAATATATATATATATATATATATATATATATATATATATATATATATATATATATATATATATATATATATATATATATATAATATATTATATTCTCCCTCTTATCTCTCCAATAATCCGCTGAATCACTCCTCACGCCAACAATCGTAAACAATTATATTAAAAGCAATTCCTAAATCACGGTGACTCGCTAACAAGTGACGATCGGACAGCCGGACGCAGTACGGTCATGGTGATTGATGCAACTTTACATTTTTGCTAAGATTTATTTGAATTTTTTTATTTGTTGTGCACTCCATGAGAAGTCGGCGTCGTGACAGTCCAACGGTGGTTGAGGCCGCGGGGACGCTAAGCCCCGGAAGCACCTCAAGGTAGGTAACGACTAATTTAAAAGATAGAGTTCCATGGGATTGGGGATTTATCCTATGTTGGATTACAGCTTGGCTATTTCCAAGAAAACTGAGTTATCACAAATGGAGTTAAATGCAAATGGGAGATTTGAAAGTGGAGTGCCTCGGGCTCTATCTTGGGACCTCTGTTGTTTAGATATATAAACGAGTTAGACACAGGATTGAAAATTATATTTACAAATTTGCAGACGATGCAAAAATAGGACGAGAAATAAATTAGTAAATTTCTAGATGGACTTTCATAATGGATGAAGGAGTGACATGCAGTTTAAAAATTTTAAAATGGAGTTCTAAACTTGGATAATAATAATATATTTCTCAGATATCAGCTGGACAAAGTTGAAATCTGCGATTTCAGTAGGCAAGAAAGATCTGAGAATCATCATTAGTAGGGCTTTTAAGCCAAAAAAAAGCCTAAATATACAGAATAAAGCAAACAGGATACTGGGATTTATTTCCAGAAGCGGACATACTCAGATAACAAGTTATCTATCCATACTGGACATTACTCAGATAACAAGTTATCCATGCTTGCTAGAGAAAAGTCGAATTCAAAATATTTGCGTTAACAATAGCCTAACAGTATAGATTATAATAGTAATAACGGCATGTATGTATTTTAAGCAGAGTGAGAGGACCGATTAAAGCTGGAATGACCTGACCCCGAGTCAGGTCAATGGGACAGAGGTACCATTTACAGCCAGAATTAAACTGTCTTACATAAAAGTAAGGCGCAGGCGCGTGTACAATAGTGTACGACACCAAGAACATAATTGTTCTCGTGACTGCTGGTGGAACAAGCGTTGAGAAATATCTTTGCGCGCAATAGTGATGTGAATTTTGTGTGGTAAATTTCTTGGTTTGCGCCTGAGCTGATCAGGAAAAGGTAAGCAAGATGTACTGGTGAGATTACGACCCCCACTGATGGCCTCCTGCCCTCCTCAACCACACATGTCTAGACATTATCGCTTTTTGTGGGAAGAATATATCTGATTCACACCTTATTTTTGCCCGGAGCAGAACCTCACAAACATTAGGATTTGTCCTTAGCCATTTGTGACAAATCAATCCGGCTAATACCACCCATCACTCGCTGCTTGTAACTTAGAAAAGTAAGATTGTTTGATATTTGTTTTGTAAACATAAACTTATTTACATTTGGTGTGATATATTGTATACATGTTACTTGTATTTATTTCCCTCAACCGTTCAGTCTAAATAACAGTTCTTAAACCTCGCGTATGAGTTAATGTATATAATGTTGGAGTGGCGACTGTAGCCACTTTTTTTTTGAGCTACCATGAGGTCAGCTGGTCACGATTACGACGCTTCCTGTATTGTGACCCCTAGTGCTTCCTTGTGCTTCCCTACACTGCCTACACTCCTAATATTTCATGAGTAAACATTCAACGTATCAATATCTTTTATCAATGTATCAATTATCAATGGGAAAAATAACATCAAATATTAAGTTATTACAACAACTATAATAATAATAATAATTATAATAATAAACTTATGTGTAATAATAACTAGACCATTAAAAGTCTAAATAACACAAACTCGTAGAGAAAGGGATGGGTGCAGATCAATTCTTAGTCAGGTATAAACGGCCTAATTAACACCCACAAAAAAAGGGAGGCGACCGACACACACTGGTTTTAGTTGGATCAGAGCAGTTAGTCCCCTGAGGTCACTAAGGCAGGGGCCCCTAGGAGGGAGGCGCCCCTAGGAGGTAGGGGCCCCTAGGAGGGACGGGACCCTAGGAGAGAGGCGCCCCTAGGAGAGAGACGCCCCTAGCAGAGAGACCACAGTAGCCACTCCTTGCCTTAACCAGCTGGGTACCAGCGCTCGTGTCTAATTTGAGGTGGCAGTTCTTTTGAAAATAATGATAACATTTGTTAATTTATTCCACTGATCAACTATTCTATTACTATAGTGTGCGTGGGGGAACCTTTTGTGATACGAAGGCCTTCCAATACTTAGCGAAGATTTCATAAGACCGCATGTTTTATAGCAGCAAAAAAGATTGTTTTATATTAGTTTTTATTTATAAAAGAACTGAAAATATTTACAAATAAATTAGCAAACACCAAACAACATTCCAGATACAAAGAACACATAAAAACGGAGCTAGAAAAACCAAAATAATACAAGTAACATGAAAATGTGAAGAGTAATCAGGCACATTACACGGAACATGAAAATGTGTAGAGTAATCAAGCACATTACACGGAACATGAAAATGTGTAGAGTAATCAAGCACATTACACGGAACATGAAAATGTGTAGAGTAATCAAGCACATTACACGGAACATGAAAATGTGTAGAGTAATCAAGCACATTACACGGAACATGAAAATGTGTAGAGTAATCAAGCACATTACACGGAACATGAAAATGTGTAGAGTAATCAAGCACATTACACGGAACATGAAAATGTGTAGAATAATCAAGCACATTACACGGAACATGAAAATGTGTAGAGTAATCAAGCACATTACACGGAACATGAAAATGTGTAGAGTAATCAAGCACATTACACGGAACATGAAAATGTGTAGAGTAATCAAGCACATTACACGGAACATGAAAATGTGTTGCAAATGCCTGAATGGTGGATTTTCTTGAAGGTTATTGTAATACACATTTCTTGAAATGTGAAATTGTATAGAGGTTCACCCCCGCAAAACACAACTAGGTGAATACATAGAGTGAGCCTCAGTTCTGGATACACAGAGCTAGGTTAGGTGCTAGGTATACATAGGGCTAGGTGCTAGGTATACACAGCTAGGCTAGGTGCTAGGTATACATAGAGCTAGGCTAGGTGCTAGATGTACATAAAGCTAGGCTAGGTGCTAGGTATACATGGAGCTAGGCTAGGTGCTAGATATACATAGAGCTAGGCTAGGTGCTAGGTATACATAGAGCTAGGCTAGGTGCTAGATATACATAGAGCTAGGCTAGGTGCTAGGTATACATAGAGCTAGGCTAGATATACATAGAGCTAGGCTAGGTGCTAGGTATACACAGAGCTAGGCTAGGTGCTAGGTATACATAGAGCTAGGCTAGGTGCTAGGTATACACAGCTAGGCTAGGTGCTAGGTATACATAGAGCTAGGCTAGGTGCTAGGTATACAGAGCTAGGCTAGGTGCTAGGTATACATAGAGCTAGGCTAGGTGGTAGGTATACATAGAGCTAGGCTAGGTGCTAGATATACATAGAGCTAGGCTAGGTGCTAGATATACATAGAGCTAGGCTAGGTGGTAGGTATACATAGAGCTAGGCTAGGTGCTAGATATACATAGAGCTAGGCTAGGTGGTAGGTATACATAGAGCTAGGCTGTGCTAGATATACATAGAGCTAGGCTAGGTGCTAGGTATACAGAGCTAGGCTAGGTGCTAGGTATACATAGAGCTAGGCTAGGTGCTAGGTATACATAGAGTGAGGCTAGGTGCTAGGTATACATAGAGCTAGGCTAGATATACATAGTGTGGCTAGGTGCTAGGTATACATAGAGCGAGACAGTGTTCGGGCATATAGCCAGAGCCGCAGAAAGTAAAAGTAGGAAAAAAGTTGGTTACTTTGAATGTTAATATTCGAGAATCGCAACTTTCGCAGTTACCTTGCCTAACACCGTCGTCTACCACCACACCGTGTCGTTCCCAGACCACCGCTAAGGTGGTCATCTTCCGTACTAACCTCTGAGACATTGGCATGACTTGCTGTCATCTTCATGCAGGAGGCGTTGAAAGGGAGTGTAGGCGACACGAATGTCAAAGATGGCGTGGCGGAAATAGTAAGCGAGGTGGGAGGTGGACAGCAGGGCGGGCAGGAGCCATGTTTAGACTGGTGCCTGTGAGCTGGCCGCGTTAATTGTCGCTGTTCGTAAATTAGCTTACCTTACCTTGTGTTGGTTTCGGGGTTTAGTTTCCCCGCGGCCCGGTTATTGCTCAGGCTTTCTTGTTGATGGACTGGTCAATTAGACTGTTGGACGCGGCTGCTCGCAGCCTGATGGATCAGGTATCCTTTGGAGGTGTCTATCGAGTTCTCGCTTGAACACTGTGTGAGGGGTCGATCAGTTATGTCCCTTATGTGTAGTGGAAGCGTGTTGAACAGTCTCGGGCCTTTGATTTTGGCAGAGTTCTCTCTCAGAGTACTTGTTGCACCTCTGCTCTTCAACGGGGGTATTCTGCACATCCTGCCATGCCTTCTGGTCTCATGTGGTGTTATTTCTGTGTGCAGGTTTATGATCAGCCCCTCTATTTCCCACGTGTAAATTATTATGTATCTTTCCCGCCTGCGCTCAAGATAATACAGATTTAGGCATTTTAATCGGTTCCAATAGGTTAGATGTTTTACTGAGTGGATTCTAGCAGTAAAGGATCTCTGTACGCTCTCCAGGTCAGCAATTTCTTCAGCTTTGAGAGGGGCTATCATTGTGCAACAGTATTCCACTCTAGAGAGCACTAGCGTCTTGAACAGTATCATCATTGATATAGCAAGAAATTACATGTATGAAGTTCCTTCAGCTTAAACTCGGCTTAGTTGAGCACCTCCGATTCATCCTGGGTAGTGTAAGCGTCCACAAGCACCACGTCCTGTCCGAGAATGTAACCAGGAACCATTCGGTCGTCAGGGGACTAATTTGACCAGTTAAATCTTATAAATGTCCGCAGGTCTGATGAGATAAACATCTTTTTCCGGTCATTATAGACCAGTAGAAAAGTAAGAGGCAGACGCACAGTGCTGGCCGGGGACAGGGGGGTGAGAGCAGGCGCATCCCAGAGCTACCTACACCACTCCTGCTTGTCGAGTGTACACTGAAAATGAAAGTTCTAGTTAAACAAACTGGGATCACTTGTAATGCTACAACTAGCTAATTTCCGTATAATTTGGAATCATCTCGTTAATGTGCTGCATTTTGCTCGCGAACGTCAATACTTTCTCCTCAACATGACTAGTTTTGTATAATTAGGAAATTACAGGAAATTTTATATTTTCGTCTGCAAATTCAGAGGTGGTCAACTGCCTATGTGTGCTTACGTAATTATGCTTGCATGGGTGGAGGTTCATTTCTTCAGTACCGCCATAAATATAAATAAATACAAAAATAAGAGACAGGGACAAAGCTTAATTAAGTCAGATCAAGTTCAAGAAAGGTTATTAAGGTAATGAAATACATCAAAAAACGATAGAGTAACTTAGGCTACACTCTTCTATAAAAGGTCCCTTTCGTTGTCTGTAAAAAGATCCCCTTAAGGTATCACAATTTTATACAGTACACAACTATTAATAATGAGGTAATGAGGATGTAAATCAACATACAGAGTATTGGGGATTGGCTTTCAGATATACATGTAGCTTTGGCGATTAACTTAATGAGAGGCGGGGGATCTATTGAACTAACCCTCTCATTTCAAAAGGCGGATAGAAATGTACAAGCCATGGTAAAGTATACATAAGTACATAAGAATGAAGGTTTGAATGTAGAAGTCGGAGGCCTATTATATTGAAAATAAACGGTAAAAACGTAGAGTTAATAGATATAAATATTTAGTCCCATATGTTGGATATACCCATGAGAGTTTGGAAGCTGAGATGAACAGATTGTTGGGTCAATGTCGGAAGAGATTACAACCTCTGAAGGCCTTGGCATGCTGTGGAAAGGGAGTGGGAGTACCTGTGCTACTAATGATATACTTGAGTACTGTAAGATCCCATATTGATTATGCTGCACCTGTCATTTCTTGTTTTGTTAAAGGTAGACTGGGCAAGTTGGAGAAGGAACAAAATGAAGTCATGAGAATAATCTTAGGATGCACAAGAAATGCTATGGTTGAGATAATGAGGATTAACTGAATCTGAAAAGTATTGATGATAGAATTTCAGAGATGTAGCCTCTGCCATTAGATTAATGAGAGGTGGCGGAGCTAATGAATTAATCCTCTCAGTTAAAAAGGTGGGAAATAATGGACAATGTATAATAAATTACAATAAGAGAGCATATATGAGTACCTTATGTTCTAATGTTATAAAGTATGATGTTATTCCATAATGTATTGCTTTGCCTAAGAGACATTTCACACCACCATGGACATTTCACCTTTGTAAATGCACAATAATGACACAATGTAAAAGACACATCGAACACTTTATGTAGGGCATACGTAAATCTGTGTATCTATGTATTTACGTATGTAGGTTAGCTTTGCATTTTAAAAGCACTGAATCACCTTCTGTGGTTGATTGTTCAATAAACCCTTGAACTATATGTTTAACACATCTCTAACCCTGTCCATGGAGGACAGAAGAAAATGTATATATGCTGGTTAGCATTGTAAATGTGTGGCCACGTCTGAGGTAGAAAATAGTAAAAAAAAAAAAATAAAAAACACCACCACGGGAGGATTGTAACGTAGATGTAGTAATTATTCCTCCTGTAAAAGAAAAAAGTATGTATGAGATAGGAGAGCTGAGGGCAACATATGATTGTATAATTAAAAAATGACCTACAGAAAACACTCTACATGAATATTGTGATGGGTCAGTTTTGATCACTGACATCGGCACTGTAGATACTGTTATTGGACGCCGCTTAACTGACAATGTCTCTTCAACGCAGGCTTAACTCCAAGGTGTATTAGCAGGATTACAGGAAGTAGTCAAATGTGGTAAAAAAATACCTGTTTCTTTATATGCAGTAGAGGAGCGTTGGAGTCTTTAAACAGCCTAAGTTACTCTATCCCTTTGAGATGTATTTTATTGTCTCAATAAACGTATTTGAACTTGTTGCATTCCCTGTTGTCTGGGTTCACCAATCAAGCTAACTGCTGGCTACCTATTTACTGGTAGGTAAACAGAGGCATTAGGTGATAGAAATTAAACGTGCCCAACCATTTCTGTCCCGCGAACTCAAACTCGGAATTCTCGATTGAGTTAAGAACAAACCTAACTGTACTTCCAGGAGCCTCAGGTATTTAATAAGACTCAATTATGTATTTAATTAAATCTTATTATCACGAAAGCCAAACTCATGTGTCGTATAACAAATGTAGACGATAAAGACATATCAACTAGGGCTTAAACACACTTGAATGACCGTCCCACACCAGAAAGAATTAGGTTTATGCAAACTTTCTACCTGAGAATGGACTCGTTAAGTACTGGTGGTCGAGGCATTGAACCACCTCGTTTATGGCCAGCAAGTCCCTACACAAGTTCCCCAAGTCAATTTTAAAACCTAAACCAATACAAGATATACATTAGGAATGGGGTAAATGATATTTGATAGCGTGGGTGTACAAATGGGGTAGAAAATAGTGAAGGTGTGTGTGTACAATATGAGCCCCGCCCCCAGGAGGGCCTGAGCCCGACCCCGGGGGAGGCAGGGCCGGGCTGCCTCAGTAGACCTCAGCCACTGGTCGTGTGGAGATGTTGACGCTCTCGCTCCTCTTGTGACCTTGTGATCAATCATGCGCCGAGCAATATTTTTAGGTAATATAGTCAAGATGTGTCGTGATGTGGTGATATAATCGCGGTGAAGGTGATGTTAACGTGAGGAAAGTGATGACCCTTCCTAGACCTGTTGAGGCAACTCTACGTTCACACCCACCATTACTCACTAGGGGAAGGTTGACCCCCCCTAGTGTACCTATACCAGTGTTAAAGGCCATTAATGTGTGTGTGTGTAGGTTGTGTTTACTGTAAATGTGCTTGTCAAACCCGTAATATCGTGAAAGATTTCATTACGTTATGTTCGTCTCCTTAAGAATGCATTATAATCTGAAGACGTCTCAGAGCTCAAGACTTCTGGTAAGATTGTACATCACCCTAAGCTGATGACTTGTCACTGTTGGCATACAGGTTAATTGGTCACTTTTGTGGCTAATTCCCTTGGTGGCTTGACAGCCGAGTGGACAGCGCTTCGGATTCGTAGTCCTGAGGTTCCGGGTTAAATCCCCGGTGGAGGTGGAAACATTAGGGCAGTTTCTTTCGCCCTAATGCACCTGTTCACCTAGCAGTAAATAGGTACCTGGGAGTTAGACAGCTGCTACGGGCTGCTTCCTGGGGATGTGTAACAAAAAGGTCTGGTTGAGGACCGGGCCGCAGGGACGCTAAGCCGCGAAATCATCTCAAGATAACCCTTGCCTTATCTAGAGATGCGTCTCCCTGGTGTCATTCTGGTATGGTACATCATTTTTGGTGACTAAAGGCCTCTTTGGCTCAAAGTTTCTCCCCCAAACTGATAGTCTAAAGATTTGATTGTTGCCACTAAAGATAAGTAATTTGTGCACCCAATACTCTTCGTGAGTGGTAGCTCAAAAATGAGTTACACTGCACAAAAGGTCTAAATTTACGCAAATGTGTACACGCACGATACACGAATAGAGGAAGATACATTAATAAGGGTATAATGCTTAAAGCCACTAATACAGTGCACGTTTCGAACAAAATTTGAGAAAATAGTGTAAAGGTTTGGTGCGATGGACAACCGACAAGCAGGTAACGTAAAAATTTTAAGAAATTTTGCGAATGATGTTCAGCTTTGAGCACAACATATGGTGGAAAAAAGTAGAATGTAAAAATTTCTTTAGAAAGTGTTTTTAAATTTAAGGGAGATGTGAAAATATAATTGTTCAGTTTTGAAAATTGACAATTGAAAGGCATTTATGAACAGCAGCAACTTTAACAGTACTGTACATGGTTACTAATTTTAGAGTAGGTGAATAAGACACTTCAGTTTCGTCTAATAAGTTCATGCCTGTACACCTTATGTCGGCTTGTTAGAAAAAAAAAAAATGTAATTACTATCTATACATTGATGGTAGGTTTTGTGCTAATACATAAAATATTTAGGTATGGGGATATTAAAGGATCATAGAAGCTACTAATGTCTCAGAGTACACAGCCTATTCATAGATACATTTATCTACTCGAAGCAAAATATAGATCGTGCAAGTATTTTGGGTTTTTATAATTTTCAATAAGATGGTTTGCCTAAAGATGGTAATGGTGAATAACCAGGTTTCCTGATCAGTAACATGCCCATAATGGCAATTTAGCATGGAATAATGTATTGTCCCATCATGTAATTGAAATGGAGTTTTACCTAGTATCCAAATGCTGTACAGCTGTTCCTCTGTACTGTTTTTCCAGTATATAGGTTTTGTAAGATTAATTACTGTATATGGAAGGATCTTGAAGTGATGAGCATTCTCTGTGGCTGGCTTTAACAAGATGCACAAGAAACCTATCTTTAAAACTTGCTAATATTGGTAATAAATTCTTTCTACCCTATTGCCAAACACGGTACTGAGTATTTGCATATATGGTACTGTTCCCATATCCCTCTTAAATTGAAATTCCTCTTTTTAATAACCACTAAAGCATTCTGATCTTGTTTCATAATTTAAAGTTTATCCTGCTTGAATATGCACTTCATCCTTGTATAAACAATATTGCCTTGTTTTAGGTTAGGCCTAGACAATATAGATTAAAGTTCTCCTAACCTGTCTTATATTACAAATACTGTACTGTATCGGGTATTAGCTTTGTCGTCCTACATAGAATGTTTGAATATACGTACATTATGGAGATCAGATGTCGACAGCATAACTCGTGAGGCCATACTGCTCCATAATTGAAGGATAATTTTTTCTATTACCTGCTCATCTGGATATACTGTTGCTTTGCCATATCAATATCTTTAGTGTATCTGTTGGCTAATGACCAGTGCCACTGTTTGCCCAGACATAGGAATCTATATACATATCTAAACTTAAATGCATTTGCCATTTTGTTAAATTCTGTAGTTTATTTAGGTCTTGGTGTAGTTTAACAGCACAGGATATTTATTTGAAGTTACTGAATTTACTGTGCATGTTATCTGCAAATTGACTGATAGCTCTGATCTTATCTCAACATGAAGATAAATGTGTAAATTTTTAAGTGAACTCTGATCCCCCACAACAGAACCGTGAAGCCCTACCGCCTTGTAAACTCCTAGTGTTGGATTTATACCATTGATGTAAATGTTCAGCCATTCCACCAAGCTCCAATTCAATAATTCTCCAATGCCATGGGCTTAAATTTTTGATGCATCATTGGTGTAGAACAGTATCGAGAGCACTGCATCCATCAGACAATCGTAAAAATTGCATGACTGTTTACTACATCAAATATGGTACATTTTAAATGTAACTAAACTAGAGACAAGAATACACTAGAGACCCATCTGGAACTTTTGTCCCTTTGGTCACATAACCATGTGTCTGGACCTGTCACCACAGAGAATTGAAATGTAGACCAAAAAAAAAAATTTCTAGTAAGGGAAAAAGTCGTCCTTATTTTTAGGTCTTCACAAGGCATGTACAGTAATATCGTAAATATTGTACAACAGTCAATTGTTCCCATAATGCCTCCCTACCCCCTAACATTTATTTTTATTGTTGCTAAAAAGTGCCCCTGGTCCATCATGGCAAGTAAGATGGCTTTCGGGTAAATTCGGGAAAGAAACCTCGTGTTCCCAATGATGAACAGAGAGCCTGGTAGGTTTTGATTATAAAGATCCTCCCCTAGGCCAGCTGACTATTCCAGAATGCACCCCACAACAGTTGCCAAACTTATGGTTACCTATTTACTGCTAAGTGAACAGAAGCATCAGGTGAAAGGAAATGGTTCCACAAGTTTCCTGTGCAGGAATTGAACCTTAGACCTTTTGATTGAACATTGTGAGGATTTGGAAAAAAGCATAGTAGTTAATTAGTTTTTTCCAATTTTATGATGGCAGCATTTCTAAGGAGGACCTGGTTAAAGATTGTGATATGACAATTTTTTCTATGGGCAGAAGTCTCATATTTCACGTAGCTGAAGCCAATTTTTATGACACGACAACGATTTAAAAGGGTCAAAAGATTAAACTGTCAGTAACTGAATTTCCCACAATAGTTTCAAGGAACTTTATCATTGACAATGTAGCAAATTGGGCAGTAGTTTGTACTGTAGCAAAGTACAGTACTGTATCTGAAGCCTTGGCAAGTAAATTTTGGTACTACAGGTACTACAGTAGTGCTAAATATTTCCCTTAAATTGTCGAGCAAATTGGGTCAGAATCTAGGGAAAATAGCCTGGGTTAATCGCCATACTAACTCATTCCAGTATCTGGTCTATGACTTTAATACCACAATTAATATTAATGTGGACTTGTAGCCGATTGTATTCTTTTTGAAGAATGTCTATATTTTCTGGTAGCTTTTCAATGTAGAGTATAGAAAAAATATGTACTGTACTGTATGCTTAAAAGTAGTGTTCTGTGATCATTAGCAAAGTGTAAACTAATTTATATCCTATGGAGTTTTAAATTCATTTTTAAGATTAGATACTTCTAAATTTACAATGCACTGGGCCCACAGAGCCTTCATATTATTAGTACAGTATTTTGTTACTCTCAGGGTGTCGCATCTTTGCTGTTTGGCGTTGCTGGTATGCAGTTACAGGTTTCTACGTGAAGCCATGCAGACTTCGTCGTAAATTAATAAAGGCTGTAATGGGTAACAGAGAAGGTAGACTTTATTTTGGAGAAACTGCGCATCCCCCTCATCACCCGTAATTGGTTTTTGCACTTCCTTGATTGTTTCTTTGCACCATGGCTGCACCCACTCCTGCTCATGATTGATTTTTTGGTTCATACAAATTGGCTTTAACTAAATTTTCTAAAGGCATTTTGGTGCTGAAGTGAATAATGGCTTGAGTTTTCAACTGTAGTTTTATGGTACATATTACCAAAATAGTTTTATGGTACTTTATTCATGACAAACATGTTGTGGTACAGTTGACCGAGGAACATCCCGTGCGTAGGTTGGAACCCTCGTCACGGCCCTTGTGGATTTGTTCATTTGATATATCTTGCTATTGTGATTTCTGTGTACAGTACACCATTGATCACAGTGAAGGCATTAGCACAAGGGGATTATGGACTATACACCCTCTCCACTTTCTGGATCTTGGCCTTGCCCCTTGCTGTGTTCTCTTATTTATTACTGTTTGCTCATTTTAATTCCGTTGCTAAAATTAAATTTTTGCCCCGAAAGGTGGGACTTTCATAACCATTTCGACCGAGCAGTTATAAAACAAAACGCCTAAACTTGTTACCTTACAGATGCAAAGTGATGAATATTTTATGAACAGTATCTATTTAACAAATGTTTTCTTAATTCAAATATAGTTTATTACAATCTCTGGTAATAGCCAAAGCTGACTTGCTATAGATTCTGCAGCTATGCTGCTTGGTTAGTTTCCACTCCAAATCTCCATGGGTATTTGTATTGGACAAATTCTTAACATTACTGATTCTCTTCCTTTTGTTCATAATGATTGAGATTGCCAGCTGCAACTACAGTGTTCTTGCATACAAATTCAGATTTGTTTTTCTATCCTCCTTTCATGTTACCTTGTTGTGGTGCCCTTCCTGAATAGTTAAAACATGTATGGCATTTCTTCCTATTTTGCATTTGCTTGCTTAGGTCTTCCTCGGTTTTCATAAATGTAAACCTTGTATTTTGGTGTAAGCTAGCTTGTTTTACTTGAATTAGTTGAACTAGTAAGTAAAATTCAGCATTTTTGAATTACTACTTTGAAGGATTATAATGCACAACACTTTAGTAGCCTATTTTGAAGTTAAAGAGCACATAAAAATCAGTACTGCTGTGTCAAGGCTTAAAAATTCCCAGGGGCTAATTCATGAATGACAATAGATTGGCAATTCATTTACTGTACCTGGAGCAAATATTGTAAAATAAATGCATGGGCTAAAACATTTTCCCTTGTTTAGGGGGCAATTGTTGAAGTTGCCCCTAAACAGTTTAACAAATTGGCTAAGGTATATCCTATTTTCTCCAATGGTACAAATTATAATGAAAGTTACTGACATTTATTAATGATAGGTTAAGAAAATCTAGTTGAAACCTATTGTACTTTAGTTATAAGCATATCCTTAGGTGTTAATACAGTACCTGTATTAATGAAATGCCATTTAAAGAGATGTTTTGATAAAACCTGTGTTCAGGATTGTCATTATTGTACAAGAATGTAAGAGCGCTTGTACGGTATATATTGATAATAATAATAATTAAATTAATAATGTACAGCTTAAATATGATCCTATGTTTACAAATCTTGGGGGAGAATAAGTTTCTTGACCTCAGATTATATTGTACTGTAGATGAATATTAAGCAGTTTAACAATAGTTTGCAAAGCTCCTGTAGACATCCATGATCTTCATTAACTTCTAAACCAATTAAACTCTTGTACTGCATAGCGGGGTGCAGTCTGCTCACAGCCGAACAGTTGTGGGTTTGATTAGGTAGTGTGGTAGACAACCATCTACCACACTGAAGTCCACTGTTTGCAAAAGTGAAGTTTATAATCCTTTGGCAGCTTTGTGTAGATTACTTAAATCTGACTTCTAGTTCTTGAGGTTCCAGGTTTCAAAAATTCATCTCTTCTGTTTATGCCCTTTACTGTTTTGTATTTGATCATTAGTAATGTGCTTGAGATATACGTACTATACAACAGCTGTATATTCCAACTCTGGTTTTACAAATTATTATGAATATCTTTAATTTGCCATCCGTGCACAGTATTTAAACGCAAATCAGAAATTGGAAAGCATAGCTTTGCAAAGATAGAACGCTGTGCGATGATAATGTTCTTTATATGGTTCTTGGGTTAGTTTTCTATTTAGATACCCCCCCCCCCCCCTAGATCTTTCCCTTTATCAGAATTTTTTAACACCTAACTGGGCAGAGTGCCGTGCAATCTTTTTCTAATTGGGCAATATTTTAATTTTAATATTTTAATCACGGATTTGAAATAGTTGTTTGGAAACACTTTGACATGAACATTAGGTAAATATTTATAAAAACAAATGTCTTTAACAGTTGCACTATGAAATTTTTGCTTAACAGTTTGTGCAGTGCAAGGGCTAAAGCTCTTTCAAATACAGTAATAATAATGTGGCGGGATAACACAGTACCTCGACCACGTTGTGGGGAAATTATTGGGATGCAGTTTGGGCTTCATGCGTAGTTTTTGTACATAGTATTTATTATGTCGGGCTCTTGACACTCGTTGTAAAATAATTGCAATTATTTCGTCTCTAAATGATTGCTATCGGCATAAGGAACAAATGCTGTGAGCAGCTGCTTCTGCATGCAAGTGCTCATGGTTGCTCTCTCAATACTCGGGGCCCCTCACACCTAGGAGTGCACACAATTCTTATTTTCTTCTAAATATGGTGTCTGTTTACTGGTGGCCTGAGGAAGCAGATGCAAGCCCTGTGTACCCTAGAAAGTTTTAAATCTTGTGTAGTATTTTAAAATATTCCTAGCCATGTTGCAAAGCTTTAGGATAATTGGCAACAACATTCCTGGTTGTCATGCATTTAGTTATAATCCTAATACCCTTAATAATCTTGTACGTGGGCCAGTTACAGCAATAGGATAAGATTTTGATACCTAAACCTCCTATGCTTCATTAAAGAAACTACAGTATACAGTACACTGAATTCTAATGCTGTTGGATACTTTATTATTATTCGGCTACTCTGAACAAAGTTCAAAGCCGCACAGGCTATGGTGAGCCTATCATACTTGCCTAGCGCACATGTGCACATCTGTTGGCATAGCATGAGTGAGGGTATTGCATGGAGGTAATTTGCCCATTATTGTAGTCACGGTAGTGACAATAGTTCTAGTAACCTTGGGTTCCATGTTAAATTTGTAATACTCTACAGGTGAAGTTTCCCTGTTATTACTGTGAACTACATGGCATTTTATGACTGCTGATGGATGGGATGAGTAGAGGGTGAGGACTTTCTGCTTTTCTCTCATTTTCCGTGATACTTGTGTTCTTTTGGTTTTACTAATAGTTAGTAAAGGGTATGAAGGCAGATGTGGGGGGGGGGTGTTAGGTTATTCATGACTTAGTTGTTTTTAAGTTACCATATGCAATTGATAGTTTACTTTTTTTATGGTCATTTGGATATACTGTGTACACAATTACTGGAGATTGGGTGGGGATGGGAAAAGGTGCAGAGATGATATAACCATATAGAATGTCACGTGTGAAGTTTGAGAGCAGCAAAGTAAAAGTGAAAGGGCAGTCAGTGGGAAAGATGGCTAGCTGTTGCAAGTCGGTGAGGAAAAAACAGGCTCTGGCTGACAACTCCATTTGGTGTATAGTGTACTAAAATATTCTTTTAGTAATTTGCTAATCGATTGCAACCATTATTTGCTGGACTGTGAGTGCACTAAAAAAGATTATGCATTTTTCATTTTGAACAAAAATAAATGCGGGTAATGAATTTATGAATATGGTGTGTGTTATTTGATAAAGCATAGGCTTGACCTATATTAAAAATTTACATGCATAAACTCGTTAATTAGATTTTAATATGTAAATTTGAAAGTAAAAGCTTATTGTACATTGGTAATTTTGTTAATACATGGTGAATTTTCTTTCCAGGATGTCTTGGGGGATTAGGGGTGGTTCTACTGATCTTTGGTTGCCTCGTTGCAGGACTCTTTGATACAGTTGTAGAGCACGTAGTGCATCAGGTACGTCATCTTAACTTAGTTCATTTTCATGGAAAAAAGTTATAAACTACAAAATATTGAAATACTTTTTGAAACTGAGCAGTTGTGCTTGCCCGATTGTCAAACTACATTGTGCCATTGTCGACTCCATTTCATTGTGATTTGTCAGTGGTAGAGTAAGTGTGTTGTGGGTGTTCTATAATTTTTTAATAATAAAAGCAAATGGCAATACCCAAAATGTTTTTCATTTTATATGTTCAGTTAACTTTTGGGTCAACTTTTCATTTTGACATAACATTTAATGTTCCAGAGTATAGATGCTAGGCAAAATGCATATTAAAAATTTATTGTACACTAGCTGTATCCGGCTACACGTTGCTGTGGCTCGGCAACGCGTGTGTGTTGCTGAGCCCCAGCAACCTCCCCGCCTCCCAGTCCTCCCAACCATTCTTTGCTCCCCCATCCCTTTGTCCTCCCAACCATTCTTTGCTCCCCCATCCCTTTGTCCTCCCAACCATTCCTTGCTCCCCCATCCCTTTGTCCTCCCAACCATTCCTTGCTCCCCCATCCCTTTGTCCTCCCAACCATTCCTTGCTCTCCCATCCCTTTGTCCTCCCAACCATTCCCTCCCTTCCCTGTCCCTTTGTCCTCCCTACCATCCCCCCACTCTAGCCTCCCCCTGGTCCTCCTAACCATTCCCCACTCCCCCGTCCTCACTACCATTCTCCCTCCCCCCTCTCCAGTCCTTTCGTCCTTCCCACTCCCGTCCCCCTCATCCTCATCATTCCCAACTCCTTCGTCCGATGCATTCCCAAATGATCAATTACCAAATTATTCCCAAATGATCAATTACCGTCACTGAATATAAGGAAGTTGCAGATGAGTTGCAATAATGTGGCTGAAATGTTGACCAAACCACACGCTAGAAAGTGAAGGGACGACGACGTTTCGGTCCGTCCTGGACCATTCTAAAGTCGAATGGGACTTGGGAATGTCCAGAAAGTAACATTGTGACTGTGACTTCTCAATGTGAACGTGACGTCTCGCATTCGACTTGAGAATGGTTTGGGATGGACCAAGATGTTGTCTATATGTATATATGTATATAATTACTGTACATACAACCTGTATAGTACATGTATATATGTACTATATAGTATGTACCAGACATGACATCTATATAGTATGTACATAAAAACCCGCTCTGATACGAATAGAACATTGTGTGAAAATTTCAAAGCAATAGGTGAAGAACTTTAGGCAATTTTGAACATTTAAATTTTTATTTTTGGAGACTAGGGAGGCATTGTAACTTCTTGGGCACTTGTGTATAAAGTTTCAAAGTGACAACTTGCAAAGGACACCATGTTAAGAGTATTATAGTCTTGCTAAGCAATAGGGCTTTACCAGATGTTTTGCTTGAATGTAGTGTAAAATTATGGCAAATGGATTTATTTAAATTTTGTTTAAAGCAATGTCTTCAATATTCTTTAACTATACAGTATGACTTCCTTATTAACATAAGGCTGATTCTATCCCATGTGACCAATTTGGTAATGGTTTAGTTATAGGGGGTTCATAAATATTTGGCAAGCTTACCCTGTATAACAAATGTGCAAGAGTACATGCTAATCCAATTTTTATTCTTATAGGAACTTGTCTTGGAAAATGGGACAAACGTATACCAAAAATGGAAGCTTCCTCCAGTTGTACCTTACCTTTTTATCTACTTTTTCAATGTCACAAACAAGGAAGAGTTTCTTGAAGGATCAAAACCAGTATTACAAGAAGTTGGGCCCTATTGCTACAGGTTGGTAAAGTTTCCTTTGTTAAATGCAAATATTCTTGAAAGGTTTAGACATAAAGCAATGAACTTTCTAAAAGTCAGTACCCAGTACTATACAAATAGTATTGTTAGTTATCAATTGCAGTAGTGCTATTGAAATTGAAAAAAGTTTGAGGTAAAATACACACAAAGGAATGAGGTAGCTCAGGCTATTCTCACCCCGTTCAGTACATCGTGTTAATACATACATATACACATCACAAACAATAAACATATTACTGAACATTCTTAGAGATAAACATCTACATTTCCTATTTGTGCTATCAACTGTGTTTGCATGGTTTTTGCTCTATAGGTGTTCAGTAGCACAATAGTCTGCAATTGGTTCACAATGAAATTCTCCCATGCTAGATTCCCACTAAGTGGGTAAACATTGGGGCACCTTTCCTTGCAGACGATGCCTCTGTTACCTTAGCAACAGGTAGGTACACAAGAGATGTGCAACTGGTAAGTTGCAGCCTGAATAAGGTCAGTCATGGGCCATCAGGTGGACCTCAATGCCTGATAGTTTGTGTTCTCAACATTGGGAAACCATTTAGAAAAGCATTTATTGCTACCAATATATATACTACTGTGTTCTATTATATTTTCTTTTGACTCTTAGAATGGTGGTAGCTTCCACTACTGTTACTCCATGATTTTATTTGGCTGGCACCACTGATAATATTTCTAGCTTGCACCTGTGCTCCTATTTTCTATTTCCTTTGATAGTTTGTGAGGCTCTCTACTTGGGTCATTTTCTTAGTCTCCATAGCCTAGCTCATATTTCAGGTACTAGTCTTGGCAAATACATACTCTTACTTTTTTTTCCTGTTCTTTACAAAGTGGGAGAGATTTTAAAGAATTACAGTAAATAATCACACCACACAGAGCTTGCAAGATAACTAATCACTAAAGGTCTCGTAAGGGTGTTGGTTAACTTCTTGAGTTAAGATAGAAGAATCAGGGGCAGATAGAAAAAGAACCACTGACCAGCCCCCCCCCCCCCCCCCCCCTCCCATACTCTTGCCCACTTGTAAGCATAGGAAACAAACCAGCCCCCCCCCCTCTCCTTTACCCCCATTCTCCAATCTAATTACTGCCAACCATACTTCTCATCCACACTAGACTTCCTTCTGCCACCCACCATCCACTAAACGTGCATGCACCCTTTGGGGGCCCCTCTCCCCCCCTCGCATAGCTACAGTGTGTTACTTCCCACCATTCTTGGTGTTTGCATTTTTTTTATCCCAGAAAATTGAATGGACTACCTAGAAGCTTGTGCAGCATTAATTTTTGTGGAATTTGGTAGTTTTTACCCTAGTTGCATGATAAGGCTGTTATTGTAAATCTAATCGGATTCTATAGAGTAAATGTCATGCCCTGGAATTTCATATAATCTAAGTCCACCAATAGCTATGAAGAAGCTAGCCAATGAGTAACCTAACTTAGAGGGAAGTTCCAAGAAGAGCCAGCCCAATTTAGTACAGAATCCACTAGAGCTCAGACTGCACAATACTGGTATACTTCGAATAATTGTCGTATAAATGACATTTTCTCTGCCAGTTACAGTCTGGACGCTACTGGGGGTGCCACTTAATTGCTCTAGAGGTAATGCCATGATATCCTGGTAATTGCTGACCCACCTCTCGTCTAATAAAGTAAATCATTCAATGTGACGAAACGCATTCATTACAGTGCATTAGTTTTGTGAAAATATAACCAAATAATATATAGGACTGTCATCTATACATTAATGACAAACCCAGTATTTCTTCCCTCAATATTTTTTAACCCTCATAAAACCCAGTTGAGGCCTCAAAAGTACCCCTTGCCTGCTCCCCCCCTCCCACAATTATCTTGTTTCTCACAGAATACGCTTTATCATCCTGGATATACTAACTAGATTCAGTGGAATGGGGAAATGATAGCCCTTACATCACTACCCCAGCAAGTAAGTTGATGGGCAAGTGGTGGGGTAGCTCCCCATTTTAACTAGTGAAGTGTAGTGGCAGGCTGAGAGCTATGCTTGTGGTGGTTTTCTGTTTTTGTAAACCACTCGTGTTATGGTTACATTTGCTTCTGTTTTCCTGCACTTCTGTTAGCCTGTTTTGCCAAAAATATTAAAGTAAAAAAAAAATCTCTTGTAATATGAAAGCAATGCTGTAATGCACATGTGATTAGTTTGTACATGCACTATGAACCCCTAAAGCTAATGGCAGGTTAAGTTTTTAACACTTGATATTCATAATATTTCCTATTACATTTCAGAGAGCGCTGGGAGAAGGTGAATATTAAATTTCACGACAATGGCACGGTATCGTACGAGACGCAAAAGCATTATTTCTTTGAAAGAAATATTTCGGTTGGATCTGAAGATGACATAATCACTACACTAAATGTCCCAATGTTGGTGAGTTCACTAAATGAAAGTAGATGCATACAGTGCTCCTCAATTTTGGGTTGAATTTTATTTGGTAGTTTACAGAACAGTATTGTAGTTGTAAACTTTGTACATTTACTGTAATTTCATTGTTTATATGGTTAGTGGTGTGTAATTGTTAAAGATTATAGAATATATAAAACCCAGAATTTGTGGTGCATTTTATATTTAACAGACAATAGGGGATTGGTTTAGGCTAATTTATACATGGTTATCTTGATTTTCTTTGTCTTGAGATATATATCTTGAGATGGTGTTTGAGTGCATGTACAAAAAATATGAAAATAAAGCAAAGATAAAATAAAATAAAGTGAGTACTAAAGCAACTGGTTCAAAGTTTCTTTCAGGCTTGCCAGTTAAGCTGCATGTACGATAATTTTTACAGGGGCTATTAAAGAGTAACTTGCATGTTTGTTCTTGCAAAACTGATTTTTGAAATGTAATAATCTTTATTTCAGAGTGCAGTATCTCAATGGAGATTTGCCCAGAGGTTGGCTAAATTGGCCCTCTCGTCGATGCTGGAAGTATTGAATGAAAAACCTTTTGTCTCCAAGTCTGTCCGTGACTTGATGTGGGGCTACGATGATCCACTCCTGAGAATAGCAAAGGATATTATTCCACCAGACCAACGAATGCCTTATGACAAGTTTGGGTTCTTCATTGAGGTATATTTGCAGTCATGTCCTTAACATTTGGTATGAAAGGTCTCACACATTTACATACTGTACATAGCTACTATTAAATACCATTCCTGACTGCAAAACCTTACCAGCTATTTGTTTAAGATAAATGTAATGTCTAAATCTGACAACTAAACCTAGTTTATCATGCCATTTTATTCCTTAATTTGCTTTGAATACAAGGAATGTGTAATTCAATTAAGCAAAGTTAAACAAATTCTTGAATTTTTTACAGAAAAATGGATCCACTGATGGTCTGTTCAATGTTTTCACTGGAGTAAATGATATGACAAAGTATACCACTATTGATACCTTCAACTATAAACGAGAGCTTTCCTACTGGAAAACCGATGAATGTAATGATATTAAAGGAACTGATGGGTCTTCTTTTCCACCGGGAGTAAAGAGAGATACTACACTTTACATGTTTAATGAAAATCTGTGCCGCTCCATTCCTCTCACCGTATTGAAAGAGGTTGAGGAAGATGGCATAAAAGGATTGAGGTAAAGTATATATTGTTAATTACTTTATTAAGTAATTTTTTTCTTAAAATGCTAAATAACTGTACGTTTCATTGTTGCTAAAGCAATGTCTTTACTGTTGAAACCCTTGTAAAGTAGAACTATTTTATACTGACCTTAAGAGTGCTCTGATAATTTAAATCTCCACTCTTGACTCGCCCCATTATAAACTCTCCCCGATACCAATTTTTGCCATTTCATGGCTAGTCTCCTTCTGCCTTAATTGTACACCGGCATGTTTTGCATATTTTGCAGTTCTAGTTTTGCAAGAATGTACCACTTGATCCCCAATGTATGTGCTTTCTCAACAAATGTCCCTAAAATTTTCAGTTCTCTACTTAAAATTTTTTAACCCATTATTGTTCATAATCCTTAACTCTTTTACCTTTACTTTCAATGTAGATTTATTGGTACACAATTTAATCTTTCGTATGTTCCTTCTTCATTCATTCTGACATTAGTCATGATCAAAATCTTCCCCAAAAGTTTGTACTGGCAAATTTCTACACAAGACAAACCATTCTATCACCATTTCCTCAAACTTGTGCTTGCAGCTGTCATAATTTTACTTAAGGCTTGCTAAATGCCATTCTGAAGTCTGGGTCTTGCTTTCAATATTGTAAAAACTTGGTAATCAAAATTCCAGAAACAAGTTGAAATTGTTTGTAGTGACCTCTGTTGAGGTCTGATACTTTTGTGCCTTCTGTAATGCTTTTTGCACTACCTCACTGGATAAGTATGGGGGTGCACAACAAACTAGCCGCATCTGGTGGCAACAATAAGAAGAAAAAACTGTCTACAGAAGCATTGGGTGAAAGGAAATATTTCTGGCCTTTTGTCCTGCTTGGCAAATGAACTTGGGATTACAGATAGAGTATAGTAGAGAACATGGAGCATTGTACTACAGGATGCTAACATTTTATGCACCATTACAAGCCACTCGGAAATTCTAGAGGGCGATAATCTGAACCAGTGATCCGAGCAGTCTAGCTGGATTACTGTGCCACTTGGCACCTGACAAGTGCCACCCAATATCACTATGCACGCTGCTAACACTGACCAAAGTGTACTAATATTGGAATCCTGGTCACTAAATCCTAAAAAAAAGAATCATTTTCCAAAAGTTCACCTTTTCCCAAAGAAACGTGAAGTCTCTTTGCATGTGTACGCACACCAGACCTCGGCAGCTGTGTTGTGTTGGCAGAATGGGCCTTGCTAGGAACATAATGCCTATCGGGTTCACTCGTGTCACTATCTTAGCCTTGTACATGTTCTTTATACTATCAGGATTTGACACTATCATTGTCAAATTCTTCCAGTTTTATTAGTTGAAGTTATGCTGTGTTGTGAACCACATGGCATCGGGCTCCTCACTCGGAGGAAGGATAGCCACGAGTTTTGTTAAAGATGGCTGATGTATACTAAAGGCCTTGGCCACTGTATGAATGTTGTGGAAACAGCATGGGAGTTTTAGGTCTTGTAAGACATACAGTATATACTAGTCTGGTTGTGGGGCACAGTTGAAGGTTTGAGATTGATGGTAACTAATTTAATATGTGGATAATTGAAACCTATAAACTTCTCTTGCAGGTTTTCCCCTCCAGCCGATGTGTTTGGTAATATTACTGTTAAACCTGAAAATGAATGTTATTGTGTAGGGGGACCACCTTGCATAGGTGGAGGAGTCTTCAACATCAGCACTTGCAAATATGGTAAGGAAGTGCAGTAGTTGATAATTATTGATGTACAGTACTATTAAAACTGAGCCATATGCCGGATGTTTTGTCATTGGATGTCCTTTTAAACAGTGCTGACAAGGTTAAAATATAGACTAGTGTAATTATACTAAATACAACTTCTTTGTTTGGTAATTGGTTTTAACAGTACAGTACAGTATTGTCATGGGGTGCAAACTTTACTTCGTAGGAAAATTTGGCTGGTAAATGAGGGGTAGAGATCATTGCACCACTGCCAAAGATGGAATATATCCTTTTATATTTTCTGTACAGTGTAACCTAAATTCAATGAACTATATGGTATCGACCCCAATTTGTTGCAGCGAGGGATTCGTTGCAACCAGAGATGGCTCAAGAAGGCCCATATTTGTGAGAAGAAAAACTGGGGAAATATCAAAATGAACCATAGATTTTAGTTTTAAACGTGCTTGATGGATTTCCCAAGGCCCCAACTTTGTCAATCTATGAAAATCATTAAAAACATGATTGGAACCATATCAACAGTAGCCATTCACACCCTAATATATCCCATGCTCTGTGGGCTAATTTCATTAAGGAAATTAATTTTTAACCTATGGTATTATGGACATTTTCCATCAGTTTGCGAGCTGTTCAAACATCCTGTGCGAATTTGCTTATTCCCCCAGCTTCGGTAAACCCTTGTTTGTGGAATCAGGCGAGTTAACATGGCCTGGAAGGTGTGCGTTCAAACCAGAAATTTGTTGAAACAAGGTTCCACTGTACTGTGTGTGAATTAAGTATCCCATTGTAATTTTTTATAATATAAACTTAAAGAAATGCATTCTGATTTCAAGGGAATCTTAGGTGAAAGCCTTTGAAAGTTAATTTTTTTTAAACTAACCATAAATGCTAATGTTGCAGTTGGAGGAAGGGGAGGGGGGGGGGAATAGGGCGAGACCCTGGGAATGGGAAGCTCTCGGCAGCTTTGTGTGCCTTGCATTATAAGTGCATAATAACCTAATCTTTTCAGGTTCGCCTACAATAATATCCTGGCCACATTTCTATCAGGGAGATCCAAAATTCGCTGATGCAGTTCAAGGTCTAAAACCAGATGCCGCAAAGCATGCACTTTACATCGATGTATCCCCGGTAAGATTGTACCATTAGTTTGTTTTTGTGCCTTCCTAGTTTTAATTTACAGTATTAATCCTGTGTAAGAAGTTTTGCTGAAGTGATGATGCCTGGTACTTGCTGTTCTGTTGGCATTCCCAAATACAGTACTGTACTCTGCTGTAAATCCATACCAAGTGACCGTACAGAAATTTTCATGAATGATTGAATTTGTATGGAATAATCAATTTAGTGTTTTTTTTTTATTTTGCCTAAGTGTATTTGATGGTAAATTTATATTCATTACACGACTTGAGGGTCCAGGGTGGAGCGAAACAGTCGGTTCTTAATTTTCAGATTTGTAGGATGGGTGTCTAATATTTTCATAGTTTTGTGCTTCAGTGGCAGTAACCTGGTTGCATACCATCTCTGGCCTTGTAGCCCTATGACATCCTAAGTAACATGAAAGATAGGAGAAATGTGTAATTTGTAGTGAGAGATACCGTAAACTGGCTGTTGGCACCATAGGCTGCCCACCACCTTTGGTCTTCATTAGTTGCATCAACCCAACCAATGTTTTTTCAGTTGTTTCGTAATGTCAGGCATATAAAAAAAAGTTTGAATCAAATTAATGGAGGGAGTGAACAAATCCCAGATTTGTTTGATACATCACACTATTGGGATTTGTGTGTAATGGAGTGTTTGTTACAGCTATGCCAATTTTTATCTGGCTCAAATAATTTATACATACCCAAGCCATAAATAGTGAAAGTTGGGGAAAAATAGAATGCTAGTTAAGATATATATTAAAAAAGAAGTTTGTTGTAGAGAAGGCAAAAAGGAAAAAAGCATTGTTGACTGATAATAGCCATCTAAATTATGGCAAGTATTAAAGGACTGATGCCTTTTTTTTAAATTGGTGGAAACACTACTAAAGGAAGTCTTCTCAATATTATGAAACTATATTGAGTACCTTGAAGCTTAGGTTAAATTACTCGCTTGCTAAACATTAGCGAGTTCACAAAAGTGAACTCCCCCATTTCCACATCTGGTTAAAACAATCGGTACAGTGATACAATATTTATACTGTACAATCGATTAATATAAATTATACTTGTAAAAGCATCAGTAAAGATTAAAAATTAGTACAAAATAGTAAGGATTGACAAAATAAAAAATGAATTGTGAACGGTAATAAACGGTTAGAACGGTAAAATGAGAAGGCAATAGGTGGCAAAACAATTGGTAGTTTGAGTCCATATGATTATTGGGAGGACACACCATAAATATAGCTCTCCTCCTGTAACTACACTTGGGTAATTACAAAAGATAACATATGAGACGTTAGAACATCTTTTTAAAAGTGTACTACACCCACAATGTTTGATAGTCTCTGCTACATAGCCTTCCCGGTTTGGTGTTTTTTGATAATTACTCAAGTCTCTAAAATTCTTCCTGCTATTACTTTGAAATACAGCAGAAGTATTAATGATAATGCACAGTCCTTAAACAACAAAAATGTGTCCACAGGAAACTCATAAATATTACACAAATTATTACTTGTGCAAGGCCTTCCCTTAGTTCCAAAAGGGAATAAATTGTACACAATACAGTAGTTTAAAGTGTATTGTTGACTACTTGTGCAGTACTTTACTGAAATAAACTATTAGTAGATATTGATAGAAAAGGGAATCTCTCTCATCCTGATCTAAAGATTATGAATGTTCATGGAAATAGTCTAGTTTTAGACATTTGTAGCTCTCGCCATAAAAGCGGAGATCTACTCGCTCTAAAGTCGGTACCTGTGGAGCTATTAGCCGTTCCTAAAAAAAATTTTCCCCATCAGTGCTATTGATAACGGCTACACTGGCAAAGTTATATAATTTTCATTGTCAATCAATCCACTGAAACCTTGGCTGTGAGAGAAGAAATAAACATAAAGCAAAAAAATAGTAAACAGGCAGAGCACACTGGTGTATGCTCTGCCGTGCCTCCAATGATATTGGTCAATAAATTAGCAGTTGTGCACATTGTTTATCTAGATGTTATCTATTAATTACAAAAGTTAATTGTATGCTCACTATGTGAGGCACTCGTCCAGAATGGATGAAGCGGTGTGAATGAAAGATTAGTGGCACCTGGCATGCCATAATACCCACTACATATTGTAGTATTTTTGGAAAAGTGCCATCAAAGGTGGAGGGGAGTAATGATGGCAGTATCTTGGCCAATGTTTACTGAAAAGTATATGGTTTTATAAAGTTGATGTATTCTCTACCAATCTTAATGTAAAATTAACCATTTAATTTTTTATTGCAGCGTACGGGGTCCCCTCTTAGAGCACAGGCTCGTTTACAAATAAACATTGCTGTTCCGTACGTCCCCGAAGTAAAACCAGCTGCTAGACTAAGGGAAATAATTTTTCCTGTATTGTGGTTTGAAGATGTAAGTACTGTGTGTAGTTTTCCTCTTTGCTTTGATTGCCCCCTAATAATTGTTTGCAATTTTACTTTTAAATGTTATACAAATATTAAAAACCCATTCCCGTTTTAAGTGCCGCTATCATCGTACTGTAAACCTTGGAGTACTGTTGATTTTAAATTGCCTAGATTTTATACCAATTGTGTAAATAGTTATAATACATCTTAGAATTTACTAGAGGGATTAGCCGGTGTTGCTCGGGAGATAAATGCCAGTCACTACATTACCATCTTTTATCACTGTACACATCTTTACGACAAAAAAAATTTCTGCCACCCTCCCTTTGTCCCTGTGATCTTGGTGAAAATGGATTCTATTTAGCAAGATTAGAAATTGGTATGATTTGCTTTGCTTTTTCATAGAAGACATATGGAGGATAGAGGCCCTCGTGGCGCTCATCCCTAACCCACCTGTGACCTTGCAGGGTGACTGGTCTTTGTCCATGAAAAGTTTGAGGCTTGGCCACTAGTGTCTGGCTCTAAATTTCAAATGTGCACACTTTCATAGATATGCTTACATATGTGATGAGCTTATCAAATTCCACTTTGACATTTCCTGCTGGAGTTTGAATCTTTCTGGACAAAATTACCAAATAGAATAGCAGCAAACGAGTGGGTTGCAAGATTATTCCTTTGAGATGGGCTGTAAAAAAAAAAATTTACCTGAAACGCATTACATTGTAGGCCTATATACAGAACTCGCTTTTCTTAACCTATAGTGAAATGGCAAATGCACAAATCCTCTAACATGATCATGTGAGCAATATTGCATCTCATCAGTCCAGATCTAATGACACACTAGCCTGTCAACTTTCCCAATGTGCATGAAATGCAGAATTAATGCAAGTAGTGTTTTTTACATTTTCTTTATCTTGTATCTATATGCATGGTTCTAGGTAAATGTTCTTTCTTGCTTTTATTAGTATTGATTTGATTCTTTTTAGGGCGTGTTGGAACTACCAAAGGATGTTGTAGAGTTGCTTCAGATGGCTGAAAATTCTCCAGATGTAAGTAATACTATTTTTGCAGCTCGTGTTTTAAAAGTGTAGCTTAGTGTTCACAACTCTCGGACAATGCACAATCTGTGAAGTTAATTTACAAAGTTTAATGAATATATTTGCTCTGACATTAAACTGAAATGCATTACTAAATCCTAAGATTTAAAATATATAGCAACTAAATACTGTGTATAGATGACTAATTTTTTTTCTTCCCCATAGGCGGTAAAATCCAGTTTATTATTGGCATTCTTCGTCATTGGAGGAGTCATTGCTGTAGCTGTGGGAATTTCCTTGATGGCAACGTACTTTAAGCTATTTATACCCTTCTTGAACCCTGGTGAAGACAGTGAAGGCAAAGTGACTGACAAACCCACATTTACCACCAAACCCGAGTTGGGCCACACTAATACACTAGTGACAGAGTACCCAGAAAGTGATCCTGCCTGATATCAGTGGACAGCCCCATACATGAAAAGACAGCTTGCGAGAGAGAATCCTTACACAGAAAATTATCGAAATCATTATTATATGCATGCACTCCATAGACAGCAGCCTCCCGTGGTAAGTTCAATCAATGGCTCTGGGGTTTCTTATCTGAATCCTTGCCAGCCACCTTACCCCAGGTTCTGTACATATCCATATCCATCCAATTATTATTATTCCCCATCTTATCCAACATATTCAAGAAGGATGCAGACTGCACAACCTGACTTTATTTCATCAGGCACTGCAAAATATGATTGTAGAAGAAATCGAATTTTATTGTAATGAACGTGTATTGTTCCTTTAGAACTTTACCGAATGGTATATTTTATGTAATGGAAGTGATAGCTGTTTTAATTTACCTTGGGTTTGTTTTCGTGTGTGTGACTGTCCACGTCGTTAATTAGTTTGCCAGCACTGCTTGAATGCAGTATTTAAACTTTTTAATTTGGTTTTAACTGAGCAGCATATCTTGCTGAAATAATTAGATGAAACATTTAAAGAAAATTTTAATACTCTACTGTATTAGAAAAATAGCAACTACATTTGACTGTTTATTCTCCAAAGTTTTAATAGTTGGAAGATAAATGTATTTTTTATGTAAACCTATTTAATGGTATATTCACGTTTTGAATCTGTGTACTATGTACATAGACATGGTCATAGTCTAAGGAAAACTGTTAAATTTGCTCTGTACTGTACCTGTTTAATCGGTAACATTGTCTAATTATAATATATATTATATATATACATAGAGAATTATTTTGCAGTAAACTGTAATAAGCAGTAGAGTATAAGTGGCTTGATTTTCTGATAAAGAATATAAGTATATTTTGAATTTTTATAGGATGTAGATATTTTTATACTGCAATTAAAGTGATTTTTATTGTTCAATTCTTTTGAATGAATCCTTTTGACTACCTTTTTCTGTAAACGTGGATTGCAAAAGACCTATGAACTGCCACCTGTTAGTATAGGACCTTGGTATTGCAAGGTATGCAGCTGTAAGGTAATTCAGAATTGAATTACTTAAAAAAGCATCATCTAGTGAAGCTAGCATATAGCAGTTCCTATAGTACTGGAACATTTCTATTACATTAACTGTGTTTGCTACCTTTGTTTCATTGTGTTTACACTAGAATGATTTTGCACGTTCCCCTCTTCAGATTTTTCCTTGTAGTGAGGGAGCTCTCTTACAACCCCCTGGGAGGGTGGGGGCCCCTCCCCCCCACTCCCATCTCTGCATTATATGCAAAGGAGACCAAAGTAGGGTGCCCTTTCAGGTCACTGGACCACCTACTGGAGGGATAGCCCATGAATGTCTATCACGTGATTGTTTGGTGTCTGGGCTGGTCCATGAGAGAGACCTTTGCACCAGTAATTATCAAAAAAGGCAGACAGGAAAACTAGTACCATCAGTGTCAAAAGCATAGCATAGTCAAAAGTACCAGCATAGTCAAAAAGTGCTAAACATCACTGAGAATGCCAATATGAGAACAAAAGCACACATGGCTAATAATGTTGAGGATAAGATTCGCTAAGGGTTCTATAGGGGCAAATGACCTCGACCCCATAAGTTTAATGGTAATCCCCTTCTGAATAAGTGTTCTGGTAATGACAATGGGGGATGATGAACAACCTGCTTCAGAGTAAGTCATAATGCAAATTTTTAATGTAGAGAACCTGAAGCCATAATTGGTAGCCCAGGAAGACTTAAGTGCATGCTGGAGCTGTAGGAGGAACGGGGAAAGTAATCTTCATGACGAGATCATAATAACAAAAGGTTGAGAAAATGCTAGAGGGCAGAGAGTAAGGAAAACCATTAAAGGCAACTGGGAGAAGTTATGCTTGGTACTCTTCCCTCAGGTGGAGGGCTGGATCCTTAACCCCAATCCCCGACAGCGGACTGGTCAATTTTGGAGACATATTTCATCGAATTGCCTTCCATGTTGTGTGCATGAAGCCCTGCCAGAGGCTTCAGGAGTGAGGAGTTTTCGATTGCATATAGTCTTGGGGACCATTCAAGCTTGTCTGCATATAAAGACAAGCCACCGGCTTCCTGTCCTCGTCGTGGCCCTCAGGTAAATAAAGAATTAATTATAATATTAAAATTAATAATCAAGCATTCTACTAGCTGTTACTGCACGAAGAGCGGCGTGGTCATGGGTCCCGTCAATATAAGCCAACCCCATTTACTGTGCTCAAGCTAATGTGTCATAGTGCTTATTGTAATCATAAATATATTTACATAACATTTGTCTTTTTAAATATTATTCAATATTTACATCTTTTGTCATTGTCATACGACTGTACACTTGATAATAATCAATTCATTGTGTGGGGACAGGCAGCATTAGTATATTCATACACATTAGGCATATATCAAGGTCTTCCACCCCTCCCCACCCCCCACCCCACCAAAGCCCAACCACTTGGGCTGGACGGTAGAGCGACGGTCTAGCTTCATGCAGGTCAGCGTTCAATCCCCGACTGTTCCAAGTGGTTGGCCACCATTCTTTTCCCCCCGTCCCATCCCAAATCCATATCCTGATCCCTTCCAAATGCTATATAGCCGTAACGGCTTGGCGCTTTCCCCCTGATAATTCCCAGTCCTCACATCTGACCCTTTGAGGTTTGTGGTTTTTATTACTGTTCATGACTATAACTAGAGATATTATTTTTATTGTAGTAATTGCTACCCTGCAAATCCTCTTATCCTCCTGAGTGCCCTGATCAGGTCACCAGTGATTGATGAAGATTAAGCCAGCCAAAAGGTGGCACGGGCATGAATAGCCCGTAAGTGGTGGCCCTTTGGAGCCATTACCAGTATTATTAGCTGATACTGGAGATCTGTGGAGGTGGGACTGCACCCTACGGAGAGGTCGTGACCTCTGAGGTCACCCCTAATTCCTGACTGGCAATGTACCTGCAGTAATGTCTTCTACGGAATTATGGTCATGTGTCCCTTTTGTAATCCTGCTGTTCTGGGAAGTGGCGTTGTTATTAATAGAGGTGTTAATCTGGATGGTATCCCTTGTAACCTTCTCCATACCCCCCAAGGAATGCGGTTAATGGGACTGCTTCCATTCATCCATTTATTGAGATCTAATTTTAATTCACTCAGAATAATTTTGTCTAGTAAAGCTATCCTCCGATGTAAAGTCACTGTTGCCAGCGAAAGTATTCAGAGTATTTAGTAGAACCTCTTCCACTACCCTTCTAGTTCTAATATTATTACTTTTATAGATTATTTCACATTTCTTAAAATCAACATTGTGATCTTTTTCGCAAGTATGGTTTCCTACAACACTGGTATAAGCCATAATTCTACATGCTTTTTTATGTTCTTCAGTTCTAATCTCCAGTTTTTGTCCTGTTTTCCCCCACAATGACTTCATTAAA